GAGAGAGAGAGAGAGAGAGGTAAGTGTTTGGGAAAGACAGCATGACCTGTCTTCATTTACATGAAAGACCTCAAGTCGTTTCATCCTCTATGTCCTACAAAGTTGTCACAGGAAAGGTGGACATAGTTTGCTCGATGATAAAAATCATCCCCTCATAGGATTTGAATTGGGGTCTTCTGCTTGCAAAAGAGAAGTGCCTAAGCAGAACATCATAGACAGCGGAAAAGATGAGGTTCTACAGAAAATTGAAATACGGAACCGCAATCCCCCTGAAGTTGAGTGGAGTTGAGTTGTGGACAAATGCGAGATAGCCACCCACACGTTTTGCACTCCCATCGAGACAGTTTAGTCCATTCAAGAGACGAGCTTCGATTTCGCCTGTGAGAGACGACATGGTCTTAGGTACATCGTCAAAGAAAAAAGACCCAAGATACTCAACAAAAATCTCAATACACCGGAATAGAACCCGAGTATGTTGCGTAAAACGGAGAAGCTTCCAACCGCTACACCATACCAGCCTGAACGTCCGTGACAGCATAACTTTGAATTTTATTTTAGATGGGAATGACTCTAAGCAAATGGTGACCAACCCTAAATAGTCTATTGTGGGCACAACTTGTACATTGCCATTACATCTAAGAACAAACCAGCAGTTAGCAACCTGGCTGTTACTGACAAAGCCATTTCTGACAAACCTTATGTTTTTGGCCCAGCAGTCCAAAAACACCAGACGTCAACGAGTTTTGTGGTCAAAACATACGGAAAACTTAGATGCCATGTCGTTTACCGGGTAATTAGTTTGCTATCAGATTATATGACAATACATCCACATCGACATAAGTTAGATAATTTAGGATACAGGCTTTGACCCTGTCTGTCAAGGCAGTCTCATGCTGAGAGGGACGACACAACGTAACAGCAGAGAAGCGCAAAAAAAAATTCCCCCCGTTTTTACCATTGGTGTTGAATTTCACCTTCTTGGTCAGTAAGACGAATCCACTTCCAGTGAACAAAATTAGTTTCAGAGTCGGGCAGACAAGATACGAAGCTGACCATGGTGGGAACTAAGTGAACTGACAAAGAATACATATTTCCTATATTATTCTCGTAAGTCGCACTAAGTCAGAAAACCAGACCAGCAACAATCTAAATTTGGAATAGACTCGTGTGAATATAAATTTCATAACAAACTGTCAAACTAGCCTGCTTCATGATTTAGATCCGTAATACTAACTGTAACAACAAGAGGTGGAATGTTGATTTGAAAGCGTTTGACTGAAGTGTCGTATTGAGAAGAGGGCAGATCTAAGCTTCTTTATTTCACTAACACTGGCCAGAGTGAAGCGTGGAGTTATGCTTATGAGGAGAGAAAGAGAGGGAGAGAGAGAGAGAGAGAGAGGGAGAGAGAGAGA